GTGATTTGTTCCTTGAAATTAATACATCAGACTAGACTCTGTTAATACATCAGACAAGAAAAGTTCTGAGTCTTGTCCTTCAGCAACTCTAATTTTATCCTCATTTCATCCTCAGCTATACTACTAGTGTGGGCTTTGCCCACTTGGAAGACTAAATTCATCACTCCCATGCAGCTGCTACTGAAGATAGTGGGGGCTAAGAGCTTTTACCTCGTAGGGTAGAACTTAGCCCAAAGGTTTCACCCTACGGCACAGCAGCTCCTAGAAATGCTGTGCTTCCAGGAAGAGAAGAGCCCACCTCGCTAATTTTCTGCTGTATGCTGGTATCAGATATTAGAAGAAGGAGGAAGAACGACTGTCCATCAGGGAGCAACGAAGAATGGATTAGAAAGCAGAAGAGTGCTTAAACTATTTTTATTATTGCTATGAAAAATAATATGATAGGGAGAAAATGAACTTAAAAAACATAAAAAAGAATAAATCTACCACCCAATGAAAGATGCACCTGTCAGAGGAAAAATCCTTTAGCACAAAAGTTAGTTTAGTTTTGGGAGACTGTTAAAAAGAATACTTTCAGACAAGGGCTTGAGTTTGATGTAATCATGTACAGCATATCCCCCTGCTTATGGGTCTGTCTAATGCTGCCCTAAATCCAAAGCGTGATTGCATCAGCTACTGCCATTCCTGTAGTTCTCTTTAATTTGAAATATCATCCTGCTCATTTGGGTGAGGAATGAGATGTAATTTCCTGGAAACCAGCACACACCTCTGCTAGTTAAAGTCATCCAAGAAACACATATGTGAGGCCTATGTTGGATCGTGTCATCAAGACACTGCACAGGATGTGCCTTCCTGTCCCCTACTTGCAGTTACCTTGGGAGGTGCCCTGGGCTTTTTGAGGAACTGCTGGTCCTTATGGATTTCCTTAGCCATGGGAAGCTTCAGGAAGCAAAGGCTTTGCAGGGTTTCTTAACCTGTCAGGCCTAGAAGCATAACCAGGTCCAGGTGCACATCCAGGCAACTCCAGGAGGTGTGCTGGACAGAAACATCTGAGAGAAGTGACCAGGTCTTGCACTATGCATATACTGAAATCCTGTTAATAAACCTAGCAGCTGATGGGTACTAGGAACCTCTTGCCCATTGCAAGCTTCTGGAAAAAATGTAAAGTTTCTGCTGACCCACAGAAAACTGGCTCACTTCTGGCATGCCTTTCCAGCATCCTGATTACCTGTGAGTGAAGTTCTTCCCATCTGGTTTTCAACAGGTGAGGGTGACCATGCCCCTGGCATCTTGCCAGGCTCTAAGGCCGACCTTGGCTGCAGCTGGAGACAGGGAGCAATGAATATAGCCATCTTTAAGTTCTTAAAGCCAGAAGAGTATGACCTGGTAAGGAGGAAACCTGGGACCTCCCTTAGTACTTGCCTTTGGGCTGAAACAGTGGCAGGTTGGGGCTGCCAGGGGGAAGTAAAAATAGGTGGTCTGCTGCCTGAGTAGACCAGAAATCTTGGGAAGAAAAAGGCCATGTTCATCAGAACATCAGAGAGTAGGATAAAAAAGAAGGGAGAACAGCTATTAACCAGAAGACAGCATTAGCGTGAAAACAAGTAGATAAAAATAGGCTATGAAAAACTGTGGGCTGGAAATCAGAAACAAGTTTTCTTACTGTCAGAGTGAGATTCTGGGGTAACCTGCCAATAAATAAATAAATAAATAAATAAATCCAAGCTACTTTTAAGATAGTCTGTGATAAATTAACAAGATGGACTTTATGATTCAGTACTTGTCATACTTAGGGAATATGATGATGACTGGAGATCCCTCCCAGCCCTGCATTCCTGTTTGTGTGATAACAGAGGCATCTGTGCGGAGCGCAGTGAATGCTGAATCACCACGTGCTTTTTATAGCTGCCTGGCAGGACAAAGGCCCTCGCACCCATCCGGTCTGGAAGAACTAACAGCACCAAAAAAAAAAAAAAAAAAAAAGCCCCAAAACACCCTTACTTAAATGACTCTGCTCTAGCAGTGCAGAGCATAGCCCTAAGAAAGCCTCTGTTGGAAGAAAATCTGTTTAATTACAGACTCCATTACAGAGAGAGGAGATGGGATAAGGTATCTTGCTGTAAACATGGAGAGGTATGCGCTCCAAGATGCACGCCCTCCCACAGATTTGATAAAGAAAGGATGTGCTTAGCACTGCATGCAGGTATCTACCCATGCATGTGCTGTGCCAGCTTCATGGCACCGTCATTTCCTCACCATATTCCAGATAAGACGACACAATTTTCCTGGATATAACATCAGTGGCTAAACAGCTCCCACCATCCCACAGATCCCACCGTCCTGAGATCCACAACTTTTTTAATGGCATTTATCTCCTTAGAAACCCCTCAAGGCTGAGACCGCTTTCTGTAGCAGAGTGCCAGTGAGGAGGAATAAGCCACAACTTACGTGGATGCATTGAATGCCTCACAATTTGGTAGGAGCAACTTCACCGTACTGGCTTCAACAACTGCCTTTTGGGGCAACAGCAGCTCCAGTTTCAGTAGTACTATCTCCAGGTAGCGGCCATGGAGCAGGTGGGCATGAAAACAGGGAGGAGATGAGAGAGGGGCTGCTTTAGGATGGGTTTTTCTCCAACATGCTCATTACAGGCCTGGTTTCTGGGCTCTGGAGACTGACACTGCTCGGGCGGAGAGCACCACACTGCAGCTCCCATGGCTGACAGACAGCAGGAAGACTGTCCTGGCACTTCTTTCCAACCCGTGGTGGCCACATGCTGATGCAACCGCTCCTTTACACCAGCAGAAGATGCCGCCAGCACTGCTGGGGGCCCAGGCACCCTGTGTGCTGCTCACCACTTTGCCACAGGAGCGTCACGAGATGGGCACAGCACAGTGTTGCCCCCCTGCAGCATTTTCTAACAGCTATTTTCCAATAGCTGTCCCTCACATCAAAGCTCAGAGAGAAGTTCTCTCTCCTCTGAGTTCAGCTGCTGACTCTTAACAGCTGCATGTTAACATGCTCAAGGCAAAGGCAACAACACCTCAACACTCTTCTTGACACTCTGCTCCCACAAAGCCTGGCTTATTCCGCTCTACTCGGGCTAACATGGCCTTTCTGTTTATTTATTTATTTATTTAAAACCAAGCAGCAACCAAGAACAATTTTGTAATTTCCTAAATAATTGCAAGCTGCCAGAGGAAAGGAGGCAGAGGAGGGTGAAGGATGGTGGGCAAGCGCTGCGCAAGAGCCTCAAGGCAGGAGGGCGCTGCCTGCCTGGGGATCCCACCCAGCCCTGTGCTGCCGCCAAGGACCAGCAGGCAGAAGGGCAGGGACGTGTCATGCAGGCTGCGACACGACCCTTCTTGACCACACGGAGAAGGTCTAGGTGCTCTGCTGCAGGTGGCGGGAAGCCGGTGGAGGCTGCAGAGCTTCTCAAAGAGCAGCGACCCTGTTGAGCAGGGCCCGTGTACAGGGAAAGGCTCTGCATGATCCTCTGTGGAGCATCTTCTACCTTGTTATACATGGCAGGGCTCAAGCCCACTGGGTAAGTGAATTCAGCTCTTCCTATCAGCTTTGTACAGTTTGCAGACGGAAGTCAGAGTCACAGAGCTAGGAGATGCACAACTAGCACAGAAGGAAAGAAAGGAGGGAAAGGAGGGACAGGATCACTTGGAAACATAATCCCAGCAGCTAAAACTATTCAGAGAACCTCATGAGCATTAACACTTGACATAAGAAACTGCCCTATGTGCCATAGAAACCTCTCTGCTGGCAAGTACTCCTTGGAAAGGGAGCAAGGGCTGGTATCAGGAGTTACAGCCCCTTAGTAGCAACTGCAAGTCTTGCACTCACCTGAGAGCAGGCAGAGATCCTTCTTCCAATCACTTTCATCTTGATTTCCATAAGAAGGTGGCTTCTGCCTTGAACAAGGGAGAAGAGCATCCCTTCTCAAGAGCACAGCTTTGGAGCAGGAATTTCCCCCACTGGATATTGATATTGCAGGTCTCTGAGGTCCATAGTCAATGACAAGCAAAAGGTTCCTCCGGAAATTTAAGTCCTAACTAGGAGCATGCCCTGTCCTGCTGCCACCCTTCCACTTGGCTCCTGTCCCTTTGGATTTTGTACTGCTGTCCCCTGCAGCTATTCAGAAACCTTGTATTCAGGGCAAATCCCCGACTAAGGTGCTTTAAGCTGCTTAGTGCAGGGATACAGGCTTTTCCAAAGACTGTACAAAGAGCCTAGGGAGACTGAATGCCTAACTTCATGCCCAAGCCAGATGCCTAAAGTGAAGCAGCACAAAGCCTTTTCTGTGGGTCTGCCTGATGCAAAGATCCCATAATAATAACTGTAACTGAAGGCACCCCACTGTCTCACTCTGGTCTTCTCACATCAGCAGCCTCATGCATTACGTGTTGCGTTGCCGCTTCCCCACCTGAATCAAATGCATATTCCTTGATAGAGGAGGCAGTTAGATTTGGGAGATGTCAAGAGCACCAATGAGTTTTTATGTGTGCCCACACGTGGACACATTGCATGAGCCTTCTGTGTGCAGGTGGAAAATGTGTGTTCACATGCGCAATTTTCAGGCCATAGCTGCTCCTGACAAGCAAGAGAAAAACAATTGCCCCAAATTCCAGTGATGACTTTTCAAACAAACCAAAGGTTCAAAGGCCTCCAGAGGATTTTTCTGCATTCACTAGTGGATTTTAAGTTAATTTTTATATCAGTTTCTTCCACATGGCTTAACGTTTGATCCTTTCCTATAACCATGCTGATGTGTACTAGCCTCAGACCACGTTACTGATCTCAGCACACTCAGAAGTGGCAGAACTGAGTGGTGGGAGGAATCAACACTACCTTGCAGAAGCGGTTTTCCAGTGCTTATTCCCATTTAGCGAGGTCCTTAGAGCAGCCCAGCCAGTCACCTGCCCTGCACTTTGGTTCTGTTTGTAGGTGGCCCAAGTTGCTCTATAGGGGACATTTGGGTGACTACCTACCTGCGTGCGCCTCTAGCGCTGCCCTGTGCATCCCGCTCGCTGCCCTCCCTCTGCACACGCACGCAGGGCTCCAGCCTCGTCCTTGCATGATGGAAAGGGCTTCCCTCCTTCCTAGCGCTCTTCCTCCTCCTCCACACGCACAGCCTCTCCTAGCAGGGTCCTGGCTGCATGTCAGCAGAGACCAGCTCCAGATACAACCCGGCAGCCTTCTCGGCAGGCAAGAGGGAGCAGGAGATCGAAGCTTGGCCGTGTTGCCCACCCTCTGAAAGTCCCGGCAGCTGCCCCCGCCCTGGCCACTGCTCCCTCCCACATCCAGAGGCTCCCAGCAAGGCTCTGGGCAGCTCAGCTCCAACAGCTGCTGCTGCTCCACCAGCCTCTACTGCAGGCACTGCAAAACTGCAGGCAGACCTTGCCCAGTCCCAAACTGCCCTGGGCCAGGAAAGCAATCGCATATCTTGGGAAAGCACCATCTGTTCCTCACCTAAATAAAGTTTCCTGCCTCTTGGCTCAAAAGCGACGGCTCAGGGACTTGACAGCATCTCCGAGATGCCCAGGCTTTCCAGCACAAGAGATCTGGCCAGCAAACTGCCCAAAGCTGGCAGGGCCCCCTCCAAATTTGCACTGTCTTTTGCATCCCTTAGCAAAGGGTCTCTTTTGCATCCCCACTGTCTATCCCCTCCACCTCACCCACTGCAAGCTTGGCTGACACTTGCATTGCCCTTGACTGAGGCACAAAAATTGCCTGTTCATGTTCTCCAGCTGCATGTGCTGCCCACGCCTGCCAGGAAAGGGCAGCCAGAAGCTGCTGCCGAGGACTTTGCAGGCTGCATTCGCCCCAAGGGCACCCAACTCCACAGGTCGCAGAGCTGAAGCCACTTCCGGACGGTGAAGTGAAGCTGAAGCCACTTCCGGGTGAAGCTCCAGCCTATCAGAGAAATTATGGCTATAAATAAAATATCAGTTGCTGTAAAGTCACTGTCTTCTCTGCATTCTGCTCATTCGCACAGTCGTTCCGCTCTCTCGAGGCCAAGAGGTTTGGCTGTTTATGGCTTTCTCTCCATCCCTGTATGAGCTCTGTGCTGCTTTGCTGGGGCATAGACGGCCCTGTGGACCCAGGCCCTGGACCCAGAAGATAAAACAGCTTTTGGACTGCCAAGCTAAGGGGATTGCTCCTTTCCCTCCTATTTCTCCAGCACCCCTTCCGCATCAGGGAAGGCAGCAAGGACTGTAAGTGCAGCCTTTCCCCGTGCTGGGATTGCTGGAGATACTCCACATTTCCACCCTGTCTTTGCTCTGGCCTGGGCTGTGTAACTGCCTTGGAGCAGTAGAAGACACCCAAGCAACACATCTCACCTGGGACAGAGCTGACCATGCAGCCCTTGAGCTGTAAATACCCAGACGTGTGAAAGAAGAATCAAAGGAAAATGCTTTCTGTTAGTTAAAGATAACAAATGAAATTGGGATCACCCACTGGTGTGTTTCCATACTGGGAACAAAGTGGGGCTATGGGAATATTTTCCCCCATAAGGTTATTGATTTTGGAGATCTGTCTTAGAAACACAGATTTCAACAAGCCTAGTAAACCTGTGAAAGTAATGAGGAAAAGAGGAGACACTGGTGAATGGATACAGAAGTTTAGGGTTTCGCCATTTTAAGAGATAATTGAAATCGTTAACTTCCATCAAAACTGGATTTATGGTTCTTCTGTTACCACCTCTCCACAAAAGCACCCTTTTATAGCAGTGCTTAGACAGTGAACCTCAAGTCTCAGCACTTCTGTGAAGGCAAATGCATGCTGAAATGCTTTCACAAACATCCAACAAAAGCAGGCACACCAGATTTACTATTCTTGATATTTCTAAGATAAAAATAGAACAGACAATATTAAACAACCTAAATCATTCCAGGCTCCTTCATCCACCACAGAGATACACAGAAGGGCACAAGCCTCAGAAAAACAAACAAACAAGAAACAACAACAAATTGCAGATCCTCTTTTCAGATATTCAACTTTTCTTTCCCTTCGACTCTGCCCCAAGCCTAACCTACCACTGAGTGCCTCAGCTATACCAAATGCAAAGTCACCTCCGGAGAAGTCACCTTTGGATTCCATTTTCTCAGATACTACAAAAAGAAAAACAAACAAAAGAAATATAGGAAGTCTTGCATGTGCACTTGGAGCTCCTTCCTCCACTGAGACCCCAGCACATCCCAGGCGAGCAGTGGATTGAAGCTCTCCTAGAGTCTGCCGGTTCCCAGCCTCCAGCTGCAAGCAGGGCTGGTGGGAGGCTCTACAGCACCAGCCTTGGGGAACAGAAGTCCTCTCCCCATCTGTCCATCTGTCTGTCTGATGAGTGCAGCAAATAAACCAGTTTCCAAGCTGCAGTGCTGCTCCTTGTGGGCGCGAATCGCCCCGCACCCACAGGGCATCCTCCGAGATGGAGTCCAGCTCTATGGTCCACCCAGTCCTGAGTCTTTCTGCTGAGGTGGCTGCCACTGGGATGGGGAACAGCTCCGTGCCTGTGGGACACAGGCAGCTCTTCCAGGTGGCCAGGATGAAACCACTGGCCACATTCTCAGAGGGCTGCTAACCCATTATCAGACAAGCACGGTCTGCAGTTGCTGCTGACCGAGCCTGGGTCTCAAAGAGCAGCCTAGAGAGGCCTAAGATTGGTCTCCTACACCTAAATCTGGGTGCAACACACTTCCCTCAAAGGGATGTATTTCTTTTGTATGGTTTAAAACACAGTGTGTTTTGGGAGAGGGGTGGCACTTGCCTTTGGGCCTGGGTGGTGACAGTCACACGAAAGTGGGTTTCAGATCTTCTTTGAAATTCACTATGGGCTGAGGCCTGCTGTGAAACTCTGCCCAGCAGCCCGCAGATCCACCTGGCTCCGTGTCTGTGCTGCTGCTGTCTAGGGAGTCGAGCGGGCCCTGGAAGCAGAGCTCGCAGTAGGGCCGGTGGCAGCAGTGAAACATCTCCTCGGAGCTGCTGCTGGAGTCAGAGTCTGGGTAATAGCATGGCGAGTGCAGGAAGCGCTGTACTGGCTCCCTCAGAGCATCCTGCTGTGGTGGGAGGAGATGAAGGAAGTCATCGCGTTTCTGTTCCTGGCCAATGCCTGGACACATCGCCGGGATGGCACTGCCCGCCTTCTGGACACCAGGCTCGGGCCAGCCCTGCTGCTCTGCTGGCTGCAGGCAAAGCTCGGTGCTCACAGTCGAAGTGGGTGGCACCGTCTGGTGAAGGGGCCTTCTGCCACCAGTACCGTCTCCTTCCTCCAGAGAGATGCGTGCTGACCCCTCACAGCTCCAAGCACTTCGTCCAGCTCGCATCCTGCTCACCGCCTTGTTCACAACGCACCAAGCCCGGGGGGACACGGACCCAGGGAAGCAGGCGGAAGGGCCGGGCAGGGGGATCCTCTTTCGCCACCTCATCAGGTCGAGGCTGAGGGGAGCGCAGGTGTCTGGGTAGGTTCCCTGGGCTCTCCATGTGCCATTCCTGTCACAAGGAGGGCCATGGTTGCCTTGAGGGGTCCCCCGAGGTGAGGCGGGGCTGCTGATCTTGCTATCCATGCTCAGCTCCTGCAAGATTTCCTGTAGCTTTTCACTGCTCACATAGTTGACCCTGGTGGACTGTGCCCTGGTCACCCCACTGCTTTCCTGGGGCCCTGCTCCCCTGCCAGCAGCTGAGGACTCCTGACCTGGCAACTGCTGCAAAGGGTGCCCAGTCCTCGGGGACATCCTTTGCTCAGGGACAGCTTTGGGGCTGTGCTCAAAGATGCCTTCCCCCACATTAAAGAGCAGTCTCTGAGAACAAGCGGGTTCCTCAGGTGGTGTATGCTCAAGGCTCCCCGGTTTCTGGAGCTCCTCAACGTCACCGTTGCACTCGTGTTTGCCGCAGGGCGCCGGGCCGCCCTGCGCGCTCAGCAAACTGGGAGACTGCCAGCCGCTGGGCTCAGCGGGGCAGCGCTCCAAGGGCAGCCTGTCGCCGCCACCGTGCTGCTCACCACGCTCACCAGCGCCCTGGCACCACAAGGGGAAGGTGGCGCACGGAGCCGCCTCAGGCGCCGGAGCGCAGCCGCACTCCACGACCATCAGCCTCATCAGCTTCTCCTTGGCGTTGTTCACCTGCTCCTGGAGGCTTTCAATCACGGCGTTTTTCTGCATTAAACAAATAAATACATCAAGCCCAGCAGATGCAGAGGGTAAGACATGCTGAGGATTTAAAAGTATGTCAGAAAAGCAAATCGGTCTTCTCCATGCAGAGAGGGCAGTGAGGGCATGCGACTGGGGCAGGGGGCCAAGGCAGGCAAAGCCCCCCGTACCTCCAAGAGCAGCTGCTGCATGGAGCTCTTCTCTCCTATCAGCTGGCAGAGCTGCTCTGCGCTGCAGGCCGAGTGGCAGCTTCGGCTTGGGCTGGTGAAGTACTTGGCCATGTGGCTTACAGTTTGGTTTTCCTCTTCAAAGGCTTTCCACTGCTGGAGCTGTAGAACATAAGAAGCCGTTAGAGGCACACTGGGCGCAGGCCACACATGCACAGAAGGAGGCAGATGCAGCAGCCAGAGATGGAGCGAGACAAAGGGGCAGACAGGGAGGGAGACAAAGACCGGCAGTGACAGATGAGCACGGAGAGAGACTGCTGAGCCACGCAGTGGAGAGTCGCTCGGAGCCGCCCACAAATCCCAACTAAAGCCCTACCCTGCCCTTGCTTTTAGCCTTTAATACAGAGACTTAGTTCCTGCTTATGCACACTGCAAAAGGCCCCCTCCTCCTTCCCCCCGACTCAGTAGTGCGCAGAGAACAGCACTCGCTGAGCCCTGAATCGCTGGTGACAAGTTGAAAACCAGAACTGCCTAAGATCTGCTTCCCTGGATCGTATCTGTGCGAAGGCTGTGTGCATCAATGATGCAGCTGCTCATCGATTTCAAATGAGCAATAGGAGAGCAAGCCCATTAAGGAGGAAAAAAAAAAAGAAAGCTGATGAATTAAAAGATCTAAGTTAAATGAAATGTTCAAGGCCCCAAGGCTACAGCAGAAAAATAGGGCAGGCAGAATGCACAGTCAACCTGTGCCATGCAGTTCATCAGCCTCTCTGTCCTCACTCTGGTCTGCAGGTCCCTTGGTCTACAGAGAACCGCCAGTAGGTTTGTGTTTGGCACAGGACGTCTGGTCCCTAATCGGCATGCTGGTAATCTAGTGTGTCGAGTCCCTGCAGTTTTACCTTATCAACTGATCACAGGAGAATTGTTGAGCAAACTTGAGGACAGTAACATTTACTAATAGTAACATTTAGCAATTTGGGCACGGGGAGGAAGATCCATTAAGGGCTGTGGGAAAAGGAAACTCAGGCCTTATAGACAGGCACGAGTTGCATACATTAAGCTGAACATTTGGGAGAAGAAGCAGGAAGGATCACTGAGGTTGGCAGAGGCGTCTAGAGATTGGTCTGGTCCAATGCCCCTGCTCAAATAGGGTCAGCTATAGCAGGTTACCCAGGACTGTGTCCAGTTGGCCTTAAATATCTTCAAGGATATTTATACCACAACTTCTCTGGGCAACCAGTTCCAGTGTTCGACCACACACATGGCAAAAGATTTTTTTTTCCCGTCCCTCTAATGTTTAAATGGGGTTTCCCATATTTCATTTTTTCCTGTCACCAGATACCTGGTATCTGGTTCCATTTCCCCCATCAGATATCTATACACAGAGATAAGATCCCCCCCGAGCCTTTTCTTTCACCAGACTGCTCTCTTGTGCTTCACTTCTTCCCTCTCTCACCTCATTTCCTTGAGCCCGAATGTCCCTCAAAATATAAAACTGAGTAAACAACTGTTTCCTCTCATTGTAACAATGACAGCATTTTTCTCATTACAGTCAAACATGCCAGATTCCCCTGGAAGACATGGAAAGCAGAAAAGCAGAGAGTTGCCACAAAAAGCTTCCTTAAAATTCTCTGCATCTCCCGCTTCGCACACTGCAAAGCTGTGTTCCTCTCCCCTCTTTCAGCAGCTGCACCACTGCCACAAGAGCAGCCCATATCACCTGTGCGTGTGCCCTGCATCGCTCATGTCATGCTCTTCTACAAGAGTTTCTAAGCGGTAGCTCTGAATCAAGCCTGAGCTCACAGTTCCTACGTAAGGTCAGCATAGGGCAAAGGACACATGTCAAAGGATGTGCCAGGTATGTTAGGCGCTATGACTGGCCCTGGGGGCAGTTGTGGGGTGGGTGGTGGCAGGAGAAGGTGCACTACGGTGCTGAGGCCAAGGAAAGGAGTGGAAGCATGGTTCAAATCTAGGCACGGGGGAGAAGGATTCATCATGGGCTGTGGGGAGAGAACTGAGGAACTTGTTGGGGAAGCAGAGCCCTTGTGTGTTGGGAATACCCAATGTGGGAGCAGAGCAACTGAGGAGTTGTGCAGTTTTGTCTGAACATTTAGGGGGAAAAAAAAAAAAAAGGGCAGGAAAAACAAATGCTTAGGACTCTACAGCTGCTACTCCCCAAGCATGCCCATTTCCGACCAGCTCTCCGGACAGATGCCTCATACCTGTGGGACAAAAACGAAACAATTGATTGTCGTTGTACACACAAAGATGCCTCCAGAGGTGAAACCAAACAGCAGGTTGTGCCAAGTGTGGAAGAAACGATGAACTAAGAAGACAGTCCCAGCAGCCAGGAAAATGAGGTTGACCCCAACGATGAGCGTCAAGGACTGGTTGACTGGCGGAGAGCTGACATTGTCGGTCAGACCAGCCAAGTATGTCCCGTATAGCAACAGGATACTCTGGAATTAGAAAACAGTTCAGAAAAAGAAGTTCAGAAAAGATTTCCAGATTGTGGAAAATTACAGCCTGACACAGCGAACCCCCACTTCATGCTGGGCTAAGATTCCTCGGATACATTCAGTACAATCCTAATTAATGCTCTTTGATCTATAATGCAGACTCTCAGCTCGCGCTGGGAACTCGGCAGCAGCTACCCAGCTTCCTGCTGCAGGTCCCACGCAGGGCGAGAGAGCAGGACTTAATGTGCCAGCAGGCTTTGTGGGTCCTGGCTGGGGCGCAGCAGCAGCACCCAAGCGGGGAGCTGAAGATGAGGTTGGCAGGCAGTGCCACCCAGCAGGGCATAAGCCAGGACATGCGAGGAGCATGCGATGAAAATATTCACTCCAGAGTGCTGGAGTAGGAACACCAAACAAACACAGACAGATGAGAGACAGAAATCCCTCCAGAGAAGCAGAGGGCGGGGGGGGCAGAAAGCACTTTGCCATCAAAATGCAACAGCATAATACTGGTAGAGCAGAATGGAGATAGCTAGACAAGGAAAACGCAAGACAGAAGAAGCAGACTCTTAGGGGGAAGAGATGTAGCTGATGCCTCCTTAAACAAAAATCCAGGAAACTCTGGGTAATACTCTTTTCCCTGCTCTTTACAGTTTCCTTTCTGCATCTAGTGGTGGTGAAAGGTGTCAAAAAATGCTCTGTGCACAGAGATCCTTCCTCCCCAGCAGCAGGTTGGCTGCTTCAGGACAGACTTCCTTACCACACTGCCTCTCAAGTGTCTCACTGGTGCATATTCCCAGTGTAGTTAGGAGTAAGCTAATCATCAGATTGCAGGTCAGGAAGGAATTCTCTCCTTCACCAGGACAGACTGGTAGGAAACACTGACTATTTTTTGCCCTCCTCTGTAGCAGAGCCTAGGTACTATTTTTAGGATACACTAGAAATACTGCCTAACAAATTCCCTGCTCATGCAAGGACTGAGAGTATCAAGAACATGTCTCCTACATTTTTCCTATGTCACATAATATAGGCAAATAAAGGTAAATAAGTAAATAAATATAAAAGGCCTGTTAGTCTTTTGCCAACAGATATTAAAAAGGAAGGCACTAGGAAAGCCCAAGGAGGAATGGTGACACCTGCCTCGCTGGGAGCAAGACTGAGACTCAAATCTGCTTTGTGGGATCAGCGCTGGTTCATAACCACATTCACCACAGGGCACCTCCAAACACATGCTCCAAGGGCAAACCACTTATCAATCTCTGAGCAAGAAAAGAAAAGCACCCAAGCCCCATCTAAAACTCATACAGTCTCTCAAGGACACAGACAAAAGCAGTGCTATCTACTAAACTAGGACTTTGACACAGGAGAATAAGCACAGGACTATGCTTTATTTATTTATTTAAATCTTGAGCAAAGGACTTTGCTCATAATTCAAGGTGTGACGTTGCCAAGTAATTTCTGTTCATTGCTCTGTGCTTGTAAAACAGGATAATATAGCAAGTGGCTTCACAAAGGGCTTGGCATATTAATGCCTTGGAAGATAAGAAGTGCTACATTCATGCATAGAGAAACCTACTTGTACATTAGTGTCAATCCAAGTTAACTCCAGAGGAACCACTAAAGTAGTACTGTTATGAAAGCAAGTAGATAGGATCAGAGTCAGGTTCAACACAACACTATGAAGAGAAGATATAGCTGGGCATGTCTTATTCTGAACGAGAGGAAAGGAGTTTGTAGCAGTTGTAGACACAAGCATTACTCACCTAAAGAAGAAACCTAACATAAACTGTAAGCAAAGGCAGGGAAGGAGCACTGAAACAGGCAGCCCAAGGAAGGTGTAGGTCAATCCCTAGCACAAAATGCCCTGTAAGAATGGGTTAGACAAACGTCTCTAAAATGAACTGGAGCAGGAGAAGGACTTGACAGTGTCCTGAGGTCTCCTCCTGCTATTTTCCCTGTGACTCCTGGTGGATGGTCGATGTGTATTACATTACAGTGAGTCAGAAAGGAACTGCTTGTATTGCATATAGATTGAGTCATTCAGAAAGAAGCTGTGATCTCATAAGATTCATCAAAATCAGCTTTCTGAAATGCTTCTAACCTCTGCCAACCCAGGGACACATGAGAGCACAGATAATTACTGCTATAATTATACACTCTGATGGAATAAGAATGGCCACATACAAATTACATCAGTGAAAGTGTATTTCAGTGTTATAATTAACTGATGCTCATCCTGTAAAGGTAGACACCAAGCACTTCTCACCTGCACCTCTTTATCTTGCACTCAGAGGACCCAAGGTCTGAACTACATAGTACATCACTGTAGTAGATAGTCATCTGAGGCCTTATGGAAGAAGTGAACTTCGGGGAATACAAAGACACAAGGTTTAAGATGGCCTATAGATGAGGTGTGAGAGTTTACAGGGAGAGAACTAGAGAGACAGTGTGTTCAAACTCATGTTGAAGAGATAGGCAAGAATGAAGAAGTTAACAGGGAATTTATGGAGAATGCAAGGAAGCATCAAGACGGGAAGCAATGGACATGGGAGGACTTTCAAGACTTATCAGGAGCAGCTGATATGTGCAATATGCACATAGACTGGGAGAGCCATGAAACTGCAGATGCTGCTGCCATCAAACTGGGAGGAGGTGAGATACAATGTGAGAATCAATAAAGAGGTTACGCACCTTAAACCCTAAAATGAGAACGAACCAAAGGTCAGAGTAAAGAGAGGCGCAGGACTGCATCCGGCTCACGGAACAGGTCATGCCCTTCTCTGTCACCTAGGAGGCAATGGGAACACAGAAGAACACAGAAGTGAAGGTTGCTCTGCCTGCCCAGGAGCAGGGACCGATAAACGGACAGACAGTTCTACAAACACAAACACTTCTCCCCTGAAAATCCCAAAAAGGAGGCACCAAAACTGGTGCTGCCAGAGTTGGAGAGTTAAAGGAAGAAAGATTTTGATATTCATCTGCCAACATGACAAACCTAGATGATTAACATCTAGGTTTTCTAAACACGGTTAATCATCTGCAGATGCCATGGATCTCAACTCTGCCACCCAAGCGACCAGCACAGCTTGGTCAAGATCATCATGAGACTTTATTGCTTGGTAAAAGAGAGCTCTGAATCCATCTTCCTTCATGTCTCCCTTCTCCCTTTTGCTCTCTCCTACCTCCAAGTATCTGACCACATACCCCCGTTTCCACAGAAATCAGACAGGACACACCATGATGCTCCCCCACCTCCTTATCCCTTTACCCGCAGTGAGACGCTGAGGCTTCGGAAACACTGGATCGGGTCAGCAAATACCCATGTCAACAGCAGCACTGCATCTGCCAGCACCAGCGCTGCCACCATCGCCAGCAGCTGGAGGTCTTTGATAATCTGCAGAAACATGCAGGAAGTGTCAGTCAGTATCAAGGAGACACCAATATCCTCCTTCCCCCGGGCCTCTTTCTGATTCTTTCTTCCAAGGGACATGTTTACCTGAATACCTCCCCCAGAGCGAAGTCCTACAGGTCACCTATATTCAAGTAGCTATAGGTCACTATCTCTGGCTCCAAAACTCTTGGAGACCTAATCAGAATTGGGACCATGAATGAACTCTCACCAACTGTGTGGCTAGCTGGTAAATGCCCTGCTCTCAAGGCATCTCCAAATGCTATCAGGGCATCTCCAAAAAAAAAAGGCCCTTCAAAACAAAAGTATCATCTACTTACCTACATTACAAGCAGAAAGAAAAAGAGTGAAAATAAAAGCTTATATTGCAAGTTTAACATGGACCTCAGATCCCTCAGTAATGACAGTCCTTTCCTGTTTTCTGTTCCTCTGCAAACCCTCATTATACTTTTCCTCTAAGATCCATTTCTTTCACCACTGGAAAGTGGCCTTCGTAAGCTATAAACCTGCTCTGACATGAATAGGTATATACAGGTGGCCCCCATTTTGTTCCCAACCAGTGTTTTCCCTCTCTCTCTCCTGCAGGTGAAAATCCAGCACTCCCTCCCTTCACCCAAAATATCAGATGCACCCAGGGGTTACGCCACATCCAAGAAGATAAACTTGAGGTTCCTGGCTTATCTCCATCTCCTAAAAGCAATCAGTCCAAACCTGGACATAAACATCGGTGTGTTGTGTAATGAAAGCAATCTGTGGTATCCAGTTGTTCACAGCCCTGTAACCCACCTTCCCCTTTACTTGCTGGTCTTATCAGCTATTCCAAAGTGATTTGGGACTTCCTAGAGTGTGTCTCCCTGTTGTAGAGTGTTTTCCTTTCCTTCTTGCTGCCTCCCCCGTCCAGATGCCTCGCGGAGGGAGGTGAGCAGCGTAGGGCTGCTCAGCGCCCTGGCTCGGGTACTCACCACCCGCTTGTCCGGCACGCGCTGGGTGAACACTTTGTAGAGCCGCCAGCTTTTGCCCAGGACAGGCCCAAACACCAGGGAGCTTCCGATGCACAGCAAGCAGAGCCGCACCTGTGGAAAGAAGGCAGTGAGATGAAGCAGTGGGGCTTGCACTTTTCCTGGACAGGAGTATCTGCCCGAAAGATGGGATAAAAAGACATGGTGGGGATGGAGCTGTGGTGCTCTGGCTTCTGGAGGGCCATGTCAGGTACTAGAGAGGTGGCTACAGGATAAAATAAACTCATATTCACCCATCCCTCTGCAGTCTACCTATGTGGAGGGTGCCAACATGTCCAGGATGCAGAGTAGAGGTGGCAAGAGCAAACAGGCAGTCAGGAGGAAGCTGTATGGCAGAAATCCCCACCTCTTTGCGTTGAAAGGCCCTTGTCAGAGGAGCAGTGAGAGCCAGGCAGCTTGAGAGTGACAGCTGCACAGAGGGTCGAAGTGACAATAAATCACTGGCTGGCAACTCTGTTGATTATCTCCACTCAGATGGCTGGGCAGGACCTCCTTGCTTCTCAGAATCTCCGGGAACCATGTACCCTTCCCCTCGCTGGGTCACTGCCAAGTCCCTGGTCTGGAAGCGGGGTGCCCCAGGCCAGGAGTTGGGGATCCATCACACCAGTCAGCATTTCTGCTAAGATCTGCACCCAGGAAGCTTGCGTGCTGGCCTCCATATTCTACATTTAAAAACCAAGTAAGCTACCTAGTTCTGTTGGGCAGCTGCTGCCGGCACTGCTCCCTCTCCTGGAGACCTGACTTGCATTCCTCCTTGTGCTGTTGGCTTTCCGTAATCAAATAAAGAAGGTTGTGCTGACATAAAATATCATTTTGTATAGGTGGAAACCACTCAGTTGAATGTGCCCAGAAGCTGGACGGTGACCTAGAGCGTGGGCAAGCGTATGTGCATGTAAACACTCACCCCAGCAAATCACCCACCTGAATAAGCATTTCCACCGAGTCTCTGGATGGCAGGCTCTGCTCCTGAATCCCAAAGAGGTAAGCGCTAGAGTAAGTCAAGCCACTGCCCAGCAGGGTCACAATGTTCAGATTGGGGCTGGACATCTTCACAATCCTCCAGAAAACAAAGCAGGGAAGGCAGTGACAGTTACTGAGCGCCATGACCGGGAACCACAGAGGCAAGGTCCCCTCATAAGGATGACGATGGCTGTAAGGGACACCTCCTGCCTCGCTGTCCCATCCCCCCAAGCCTAGCTGCTCACAGCTCCCTGGAAAGCTCAGCCAGTGCTCCATGGTATACCCCATCCCTGCCCGGTACTGCTGGCATGCTCTGCTGTCTTTAGAGTACTCATTTTCCCTGCCCCAGCACTCCTGTGATGCAGTAAGACCCCCTTTCCCCAGACAGACAGATAATGAACTTGTCCCATGGCACCTCCACCCCTGCATGTGCCTGTGGCATGGAAAGTGTAACTGGGGCAGCTTCAGCCAGCTTCCTTATGGACAAAACAATGGCAAGCAATGGGCTTTGGCTACCAAATACACCAAGGAGGGTCTTGCCACCCCAGCTCCTCTGCTACCCGTGCTCATGCCGGGCAAAACTCGCCGTGTCGCTGCTGCGGGCACTGCAGCCGCCGCGCTGCCCCTCCATCCAGCAGGGAGTTGGCGGCTCGGCGCAGCGCACAGCTCCACTTCCTGCCTTCATGGCCAGCATCTCCCAGCACTGCCCTCTGCCGCAAAGCACCAGGAAATGGAGTGGGAAACCACACTAATGCAGCCCAGGGTAACTGTCCCCAGCAGTAGCACATCCCGTGCTTTGGGTACATCTGTTTCCAGTGTCTCTAGGAACAGGTTTTTCCCTCTCGTCCTTTCCTTGAGGAGTATGTTCCACATTCAGTATAGTCCCAGACACAGGAGATGTCAGTGCTATTTGGGCTACAGCTTTCACTTTTTAATTTCTTGCCATTACTCATAACCTTGCAACTGCATTCAGGGAGGAGAGCCAAACCACTGATCTCCACAGACCTGTCACCCTTTCCCACTGCTCCCATCAAGCAAAAGCATCTCTTCCCTCTGCACAGATTCAGCCCTTCAATCTGCTGCTAGTAATTTCATTTCTCTGTCCTTGAACTTCCTGCCAATTCTTGCTACCTCTGAAGCAACACAGAGCCTAAGATTCAACCCAGCTCCCTCCCTGCCTGCCTCCTCACCATGCCACCCTCCCTGGTGAAAGACATTAATCAGATCAC